TGGGAAAGCACTTGACCACTGTGTTCATCTTCACATCTCGCCAGGCGTTGAAGATCTTCGCGAGAGAAAACTTTGTGGAGATTTCCGGCCACTCCTTTGTCATCCACTGCTGGATGTCCTGGCTGCTGACAGCTTTGCTTTTGCCAGAAATTGTTTTGCCAACGATGTTTTAGTGATGCTTAAATTAGTGAAGTAACCCGGTGTGGCCAGCGAAGCTGTTTCCTCGAGTGCAGCGGCAAACCATTTGGCCTTGGCCATCAGCATCGAGCCATCTACTAGAATGTTCTTCGCGCGCACTTCTAAATACCATGCATAGAGTGCCTTTTCTACATCCCCGTGGGCAGGAGCGCACACATGACAGGCTCCCGACGTTCGCTGCAGCGCCGGCTTTGCCTTGATATCTGCTTTGTTCTTCAACAATGTACTCAGAGTGCTCCGTGGCATGCCGAAGTCGTCCGGGACGGTTGAACATTTCTTGCCCACCTCAACAGGCTGAATAGCCTTCAATTTTGTCGCAAATCAGGGGTCTCGCACTTTTTGACGCTGGGCATATCTACACGATAGGCCGCAATTCAAGGAGTTCACAGCGTCTTTGCACACCACACACGCAAAAGAGAAATGCTGCACATGCGGTGGTACGTAGGCGATGCGACAACGGAAGCAACAAAGTGATTGTGAGGCGATGGCCGCTTGTGAGGGCAACAGCAAAAGGCACGAGATGTGGTTGGCTGATCAAAACACTTAAAACAGCAACAAAAAAATCAAAGGCGAAAGGAGGAGTGTGTCTGCTCCTTCATTCCTGCTCTCCGCGCTCACGGAGTATGTGGAGAAAGCTTGAAAAAGAGAAACGAAACAAAACAAAAGAGCCATTTCGCGAGTTAAAGATTGTGCAGTTCGAGCCCTCTCAACCCTTATCGTTTCTTGAGCGTTTTGGGTTATGGCTGACGCGTGGTGCCGTGCGGAGTTCGCCCGGCACTGCGAGTGCCAAGGCCCAAAGTGCACTTTCCAACTCACCCGCGGAGCTGCACTGTCGCGGAGATTGCGAGGCATGGCAAGTGCCAAAGCGCACCTTCCAGCTCGCACGGCGTTCGATATATTCAAAGGTGGGTAAAAATACCTTTTGATATAAACGTGCAAATTTATATAGTTTTACAAGGGAATTTCAAGGGGATAACTGACGAGTTCGATATGCCTGTAGTGAATGGCAATAGTAAACTGTTTCTTACTCTAAAAATGCAATGCCCACTTGTAGTTTTCTGGCTTTTTTCACGCCTTTCCATCTACCTTTACGTGAGATATCATTCCCTTATGCACTTCAATGTGTTTGAATTTATGTGAAATTTTCTGCACTCTACATACATAACACAGCCTATCAGCACTTCACGCTAGCAAGTCTGACATGTACTAGAGATGCCATACCATGCTAATCTTTGTTTCATAAGTGACTGCGATCGTTTTACGTCCCACGATATCATCAATAGAGCAGCGTTTTGTCCCAAGGGCCTTTTATGCTCTCAGCTGTTTCCATAAATTTTACAGACAGTTGGCGATGCAGAATACGCAAAGCAAATACACTACATCATGGTACTTCATTAGGCATAGAATGCATACTTTTGTTGTCATCATACATATGTTGACATTTGGCAGCATCTGCCCATATGTGTGGGTGATTTTCAAGTGGTCACGGTTCGTGCTTCGAAAATACTAAATCGAAGTGGTTCTGCAAAAGCTTACCTTGTGTTTCAAAGCATAACCTCGTGCTGCGCTCGAAACCCACCTCTTGCGTTCTTCGCGTTTGCCCAAATCCACTTCTCACTTCTTTTTCTAAAATGCACAAAATATCGTCTATCCAATCGCGAAAAGAGTTGAAAAGCACAATCACTGAACAAGCGGCGACAAATGTGCCACAAAATTCCACGTATTTCCTCTCCAATTACACTGGGCAGCGGGTCCTTCGAAGCAGCAAAAGGATAGTCCTCGAATCTGAACCACTGTAACTGACGACATGCCGTTTTGCTAACCACTGATTCCACTGTTGAATTCTTTGAACACAGTTGTTCGCTGTCACTCTGCGACAAATTCATTTGCTCAGTCGGCCGTGTCGTCTATCATTATTGCCAAAACACGTCAGTCTCACTGGAGTACGGCACACTGAGTTGCGGTCCACTTTGCGGATTTCGGTGGAGCAACTTTTTCGGCTCCCCGGTGTTACTCCCACTTTCAATCCACTCCGACTATTTCATAAGAACACTTGATTCCTGCCCTCATTCTGCCATTGGAACACACTTACCCCAAAAGGAGCAGAATAACTTGCTCAGACTTTGCCATTGGAATTTAACAACTGTCAACTGTGTGTCTGTTTATGAACCACAGCTGCCGGACCAGCCCATGCTTATACGAATCGGGCCCTTACTCTGCGTTGCACGCAGGCCTTCAAAGGGTCGCCGACATGATGGACTTGCACGCACGCTCAAGGGCAACTTGACGAACAGCAAGAAGCAGCGCAGACAGCTGCTTGCAGACTAAGCTGATGCCGTAGGCTCTTGCTTCACCAATCACACCATAGTCGTGGCTAGCATGGATATTTGAACGGCACATCAGAGATAGTCATTCGGCACACCACACGGAGGCCTGAAAGGCCTAGAAAAAAAGGAAAAATTGTTTCTTGGAATTTGTGGCGTACCGGCAGCTTGTAGCGCTGCCACGCGTAGAATCGTTGTGACGGCATACTGCGCACGATGTGCGTGCTTACTTGAAATGTTCGAAAAAAAAAAATCTAAGGCAGTTTATGGGCCTTCAAAGCCACCTTTGCCACAGTACATCGGTGACCTGCGGAAAAGAGTTATAAGATTTGGAAGGGGCTGTCAGTGTTAGTCCTGGGACACAGCACAGTTTGTTCAATTACTCATACATTTATACGCAGCATAATTGTGGGCAGTAGTATGATTGCTGACATTTAAATAAGTTACTGGCAATCGTTTGTAGTTGTGTAAAACATTTGTGCAGCTCTAAAAAATCTAAAAACTGTGCGCCAGTTTTTTCTTCTCATATACCGCTAAGGTCCCCAGCTTAGCAGATCCACATTTTAATCCTCAGAGTCTGTCAAAGATTTGACTGGCGTGGTAAATGCTAATGTAAACTTGATCATTGTTTGCTGAGTGGGGTGATTCGAAATATTTATTTTATTGGCCATGAATGAGGACCAACAGACAATAATGCCAGGGAAAGTATAGGGGATGTAGTAATTATAATATAAATGTGAAGACAGAAGGATAACTTGCCTTGGCAGGATTTGAATCTGTGACTTTTGAATAATGTGTCCGGTACTCTTTCACTAAGCTATGGTGGGGGTCATCTCTCCATCCAGGTTATGGGGTGACAAGTTCTGTTTTCATCCACTTTTTTTCTTCATTACAGTTACTTCTAATAGCACTGCATATTTGTCTGTGAGTTGTCATTGGTGTTGCAAATCAAAGAAAAAGAGCCCTTAAATATGCACATTCCTTCTTAAATAGCAGTGCTCATATTCACTCTGCACGATTTAGGAGATGTTGAATGGTTTGTACATATCTTTCTTTAACGTGTGCCTTCTTGATACTGCTCCAAATTTGGTCTTAGAAGGTAACTATGATGTGCACTTTCATGATCAAATATTTTTTTTCTAGTAACCGGCTCCACATTTTTTGGATTTTAGTGCTTCAACAGTAACATTTTGCTGCTGCAGAAATCGCTACAAATTCTATTTCAGCTGTTGCACGCAAAGCATCTCTACTATTTAGAGGGCAGAATAGGAAGCAGCAAGCATAAGCAAATGATTAAAAAAATTGATAATTTAAGTTTAAGGAAAATAAAGCTAGAAGCAGCAGTTGCTGATTTGACAACTTCGGCATTGAAAACAGACGAGACAGGTGATTGCACATGCATAGTGAAGTCAAACGATCTCAGGAAATCAGAAAAAAGCAAGAGAGAAGAGCTGCTAAACATCAACCAAGAATAACCTAAAAACTCCTGGAGCTTATCACTTGTCTCACTGTAGTGCTAAACTCATCTTAGTCCTTCCACAATATGATCATCTTTCATAATATTCAATGAATTTGTTGCTTTTTGTGATAAGTGTATGATCAATTATTGGTCGAAAAAAACTTTTTCAAGTCTTGAACACCCTTGAATATTAAATGCGAATGCATTTCTTAGTCGGGCTAAAATAAACATGCAGCGTTGTCCGTGGCGGTCTTCCAAAGCAAATGCTGTGGGTGCGCACGCTTATCTTCGGCCCTAGCAAGCGGAGCATGTGGTGCGAGAGATTGACGAAGAGAGTAGGTGCAGTGCTTTGCCGCTCCTCTTGCCGTTCGCTCTCTCTCCTCCCTGCGTCCCACTCTTGAGTTTTCGTTTGCAGGGCACTTCTCAAGAACATCCGGAAATGTGTGCTCGAGACGCCGCTGTGAAACGCCAACGTCGAGCGGAAAATGCTGTTTATCTTGTTCACTTCATAGGACTTTTTAACGGTGCATGCTAGCTAGAAGAGCTAGAAACGCATACCGCATCTATTGCGACAGAAGAACGGCACATGCGGCGAACAGTGCCATTGACTGCACGGTGTAAGAAAAAAAAAAAACATTTCTTTTAACGCTGGGTTCTCATGTGCTAATTGTCATTATGGACACTACGCAACGCATTCGCATTTCCTCGTGATTCCCTTTGGGTTGGTGAGGGCATTTTTTTTTTTTTTTGCCTTCAAAACCTGTACAAACCCTGAAGTTGCTGTTATTAAATTGTTCTCAATATGACATTTCATATATGTTTGATGTATCTGAGAAACATGAGGAGATTGGCAGTGATTATAACCTCATGAGGCTTAAGAATTTGTTGCCTGAAAGGCCACCATATAAATGTTCAAGTTACATGTTGGTGGTTTTAGGTGGTTTTAATATATATAAACCAGTTACCTGTTTCTAAGAGGTTTTTTTTTTCTATGTCATGTTTTTATCCTGCTCAACCAGAGCGGGGAAGAAAAACACAAGACAAATTAGAGAAGAAGAAGACTAAGCGTGGACGCTCAATGTCATCGGATGATGAAGTTCCAAAACCTTCGCGCAAGAAACTCAAAGGTCAGGTCTCCCAGTAAGTAATACAATGTTCTCAGTCACCTTTACTGTTGAAGTTAGCTTGTATCTTGTTGTGCTTTGTAAGAGGAGTTTGTTTTTTTAGTTGTTCTGATAAACACTGTGTATAAAAAGTGCTAGAAATTGTTATAAATTTAGGCCACACAGCCTGCATTAAGGCTCTCGAAAAAGCATCATGCTAGCAGGTTACTTGAATGATTTCCATACAGCCAAGAAGACACCAATATTTGTGAGAAGTATTGAGCAGACTATATCAAAAGTGTACACCATGCTTTCATGTGTTTCGAGCTAAAAAGAAGAATGTGTTACCTTGCCAAATGGTGGACTGTATATATGTGTAGTACACAGCAAAACCTCATCATTTCGAAGTCGCTGGGGCCGCGAGAAAGCTTCGAATGAAGCTGGTTTTCAAATTAACAGAACATACAAAAAGTGGGGCGCAAGGAACTTAGAACTATTCAAAGTAATTGGTGCTCCTTGTTTGCTGTGCCGGCTAATTTGTGGCTCCAAAGGTTATGTTTTCGAGCAATACCTGGTCTTTATTTTGCCGCAAACATGTAGGAAAAGTGGGCCTTGCTGCTGCCACAAAAAAAAAAAAAAGAAAACGCGGTCGTGACTGAAATGTGCGCCTGCTGAAAACAAGATATTTTCACTGAAACAAAGTAGTGACACGCAGGCAGCATGTCGCCTGCTCCTCGCTGGGTCAGCTTGTCATGATGCGACCATTTGCACATTCTTTCTAATGTAATTATGAATTTAATCATGGCCAGAATGACGAAGCTCACGATTTGTTTTGGCTGGAAATAAATCATCTTTGAAACCTTCGAGCTTAGTTTTCGACGTAGGTGTTGCTGGCATGAACTCCGCCAGCTGTGCAAAGACAAAAATTGCTGGAGCAACCAACAGGCGGAGGTTCGTATACATCGCAATTTCCGCCAAACTGTCCTTTATTCTTTACAATCCCAGAGTGAATGGGTAAACCATAATCCACTCACGTTGCGAGAAACACAGTGGTGCCCGCGTGTCACCACTGTGTTGCAGTGAAGCAAAACTCATTTTCTGCAGGTGCATGTTCTGGTCGACTACGACACTGTTTTTCTCCTTTTTTTTTTTTTTTTTGCGCTGGAAGTAGTGAGACTGAGGTGCTTCAGCTTCCACTCATTAGTATGGATACGTTGCATTGCCTTGTGGCAATTAATGGCTGTCGTTTCCGCGGATTCGCTGTGAAATCAGGATCTGGAACTGGCACATAGCAGCCATAGTTTTCGGATTAACCGAGCTGGTGCCAGCCGCTGCTTTAAATTATCCACTCAAACTTACGTTGCAAAATACGGGACCGCGGAAATCTTTCTCATTAAGCGGGATTTCGAAATAAGGGTTGAAATTAATGCAGGTTGTACTGTATATCTTTTTCCTTTCTTAATTTTTTATTCTAACAGTGAAGTGTTAGCTACCACCATGAATGCTTTCATTTACTATTGAGTCATCCATCTATGGAGCAACCTCGTCCCATTTTGCTGAGTGCATCTAATGTTGCCTTGCAGACCAACAGATGTTCCCCTGCTGCAGTCCATCAGTATATCACATCCATCTGATGTGCTTGACATGCCTGTAGATCCAAATGAGCCCACCTATTGCCTGTGTCACCAGGTCTCCTATGGGGAGATGATTGGGTGCGACAACCCTGATGTAAGTTTCGCATTTTCTTCTTATGCATATTTGTAAGCGTACAATTCATTTGTTTGGGCTAAAATTAAGCTTCATGTCCTGCTGGGTGAAGGAATTTCGGTGTCAGACAGGCACTTTTGGTACCTTCTCAGCAGGATAACAATTTCATTGCTGCTGCAAGGGACAGCGTTATCCGGATCATGTTAGGCATGGAAGTCAGTCAAATCGCGATTGTGGAGCCAGATTGCAGCTGCCTTGATGCCAATCGAGCCTGATTTGGATTAAATATGACCATTAAGCAGCGACTGATCCGAATCGAGTCTAATCAGGCTCAGCCCTGATCAGAATCAAAACCACCCATACGACACTGGAGATTATTTTTAGGTGTGTGCGAATATTTGAACTTTCAAATGAATTGTTGCAGGTACCGACGGCATTATTAAATGGCGTCGGTATCTGCATCAACCTCGCCCTGCTAATAAACACCCTTCGACTTTAACCGATAATGTTTAAGGCAAGCGACATGTATCAACTGGATCCAGTTTGACCGACGGCCAGCTGATGTCAGTTGTGCTATTACGTATGTCAAATTGCTCAAGTGATGAACAATGACAAATGGGCCAGTGCACTGGGGTAAAAGCTTCTCGCATAGGCCCCGTTTACATTGTGGCGTCCACAATCACACAGTCTCTTTTGCAGGATGCGACATACTAATGGTGGCTGTCATAGCTTTCCTTCGATCGGTGTTGTGAAGCCACAGTACGAAGACGAGCAATTTGCCGGGCTTCTTCGGCTAGGCAGAGTGTCTTGGAGACAGAATAGTCACTATGGAAGTCAGATGATAGAATAGTATCTTTAGCGGCGAGAGAAGAGAGACGTGAGACGTCGTCGAAGGCGGCCGACGCAGCCGTGCTGATCTCACCACTTTATTCCACGCCTGAAGCGGAGCCACGGTGGCTGTCCACATCCGACACGCCAAGTGCGCTAGCTTGTTCTAATCCTCGCGCAGCTCGAGCTAGCATCAGCTGCGCGAGACGTGCGGCGCAGTGATTAAGAAATGATGATGGTGATGATGGAACTACAGGGCTCCCCCCTAGTGCTTTGCGCAATTTGAAAGCATATGTAAAAAGAAAGAGAGCGACAAATGCTGTATACATGAATGCCAATCTATACAGTGTTCATTTGGGAAGTCCAGGTTGTCAACGTTGATGGGCCATCGGTAAGCAGCGGGTCTCCGGTGGGCGACTCTGGGAGAAGCGCAAGGGACAAAGAAGGAAGCGCCGGGTCGCTGTGGTCGCATACAAGTGGGTCTCACGATGACCTGGTGAGACAGACCGAGAATGAACCGTGTGTCGCAAGGTCATGCTGCTAACGTCGGCAGAGGGTCGGCACTGCGGGTTTCGACGTTGGGGTCGACGTAACACAGACCTCAAAATCGTGCGGCGTTCGATGTACTGGTATGGATAGACGTGCTTATGGACGCAGGAACGTGTACGAACAACAGCGCCACGTGCACGGTGGGTAGTCGGGTTCACAACAAGTGGTGGGACATTACGTCGGACAGGTCGAGTGGGTGCTTGCGCAGTCTTCAGGGCCGTGACTGCAACTCGTCACTGCGGCTCAAAAGGTGCCACGATGCGTGACGCCAAGCACGTTGTTGTCGTCGACGTAGTGTCACGGGTGGTAGACATGTATGAGGTGTGGGCATCGTCGCGGTTGTGACACACGAGTCGGCGTTGTGGACACGCATTTGGTTGTTGCCGTTCGGCGTCAAAGGCTCCGGAAAATGGTGGTGGTGTAACCCAGTCAGCGTGGGCACGGCCGGAGGGTTGGACGGGACACCTGTGCTCGTGTAATGACCTGCAGTAGTCCGTGCACAGCGTTGGCGTGCAGGTCTGCATAATTTATGGCTGCCTCTAGCCAACACCTTCTAGATTGCTCCACCGCAGGCGTGGTATGCCTGGTGAGCCCTGTCGGAAGCGGACCAGGCACGTCGTCCTCAAGTGCATCAGTCATAGTCGCAGCGTCTTGGAAGTTTGGCCGTGGTTGATGGCTGGTGGCTTTAACTTCTGCTGCAGGAGACTGCGATGACGATGCTGGTCGTTGCTGGCAAGATGCGCAGAGCGTTGAGGCTGGTAGAGTGTCCCCTTCGGACACTGGGGATGGTGAAGGTTCCGCAACCGGGAGGTGAATAGCGGGCGTGACAATGCCCGTAGTCGTGGTAGATTCCGGGGCGTTCGGGGTTATTGCTGTCCTGGAGCTTGACGCATCAGAGGTGTTGAGGGCCATTGAGGTCGGCCAAGACGAGCGAGTGGTGAGCATGCATACAGTATCGTCGGCTGAGGACGTTGAAAACGCGTACCTCGTGGCTGACTGGTCGCATGCAAAACTAATGTCCTTATGTCGTTAGACGGGCACTCGGACGCGGGACTGGCGTTGCCAATGGCCGGCGGACGAGAGGTTGTAGGAGATGTAGCCAGGGAAGTGAAGCCTTGGTCGAGGTAGGGCTGCGGGCCGTCTGGTACCACTCCCTGGGGCGGAGGGAAACCTGGAACTCGCAGCTCCCCGGAAGTGGGCGGTAGGTTTCATTGTTCACCGTAGCAGGCGAGCACCGCAGCGCAGAGGTCGTCGAAGGGTTGCGGGCTGAAGGACGACTCGGCGGCTAGATATCACAGCTCAACCGGGAGGGCGTCCAGCAGGACAGCGTGCAACATCGGCTGTGCCTTGATGTCATTGACTCAAGAATGGCATTGAGCCGCATAAACCACGCTCAAGAGTAGACCGGGTGAAACGGCGGAACTGGAGGGCAGAGTTGCGGAGGCATGGCAGCAGGCCGTTCGGTGAAGGGCGTGTTCTCCGGGTCACCACTTTAGCGGTGAGAAAAGAGAGACATGAGACAGCGTCGAAGGCAGCTCACGCGGCCATGCCGATCTCGCCACTTTATTCCACGCCTGAAGCGGAGCCGCCGTGGCTGTTCACGTCCTACACGCCAAGTGCGCTAGCTTGTTCTAATCCTCGCGCAGCTCGAGCTAGCATCAGCTACGCGAGAGGCGCGGCACAGTGATCAAGAAATGATGATGGTGATGATTGCACTACATATCTATGCAGCTTAATGGCAAACGTGCGTAAAAGAGGTAAAAAGGATTGTAATTAGTTGTCTCATGTATGGCCATGTTATACGCATAGGTAATTAAGGGGAGAAATCATCCCAGTCCTTGTGGTTAGATTATACATACATGGCCAACATGTTAGTCAGAGTTCTGTTCGTACGTTCTATTAGCCCATTCGTCTGAGGGTGATTAGGGGATGAATGACGGAACTGTGTATTGCACAGACAAACCAGTTCTTCAATGGCGTCCGCAACAAACTGACGACCATGATCAGTAATGATCACTCTGGGAGGGCCATGCCGTAGAATGACGAATCTAAGCAAAAACGTGGCCATTCACGCCGCTGCCAAAGACGTTATCGCCGCAGTTTCTGTGTAACGACTCGGATGGTCGACGCATACTATCACCCATCGATTGTTGTTAGACGAGCATAGAAATGGGCCCAAAAAGTCTATACCAACTTGATCAAATGGTAGATGAGGAGGTGGCAGTGGATGGAGAAGTCCTGGCGGAGGAGTCAAAAAGAGCTTGTAGCGTTGGCACTGTTCGCAACTTGCGACTTAGTGCTGACTGTGTCCCGCATTCTGGGCCAGTAAAAGCGCTTGTGTCCTATTCAAAGTTCTAATGAACCCCAGATGACCAGCTGTCGCATCGTCGTGCATGGCTTTCAGTATGTCAAATTGTAGGCTCTGTGGTACGACTAAAAGAAAGCGCGCGCCTTTAGTCGAGTAGCTTGTCTTGTATAGAAGGCCGTCACGAACAAGCAGCGGCCGGTGCTCCAATAGTTTTGCCTTGAGCTACAGGAGAGCTATGCCCGTAATGCTTTTGTTACACATAACGCACATGGGACAAAAATGGCAGATCCCACATACAGTGCCAATTGATAATATGCAAAGCATGAATTAGGAAGGCTGAGTGTCACTTTAAAATCAGCACAACGTTACGAGGTGGTCGTAAATTACACTGTACATGACTTCCATGTCGCGATTATCGTGTTTGGCCGAGACACTTACTTCTGTCGTCTACTCGCGTCACCTGATACCGAATTCGGTATATGTGGAGCTAGCGAAACCGTGCGAGCACGCTATGAGCGTGGCATGTAGTCATGATTTACATGACACACATCATAATTATTATGTTTAGACGTATCATTTACTTTCGTTGTCTATTCACGCCACGGGATACCAAACATGGTACATGAAAAGCTAGCGAAACAGCCGTGAGCGCGCTATGAGTGTATCATATAGTCATGTTTTACATGACATGCATATCATGATTATCATGTTGGATATGTCATTTACCTTCGTCTTTTATCCATGTCACCCGATACCAAATATGGTATATGTGGAGCTAGCGAAACGGCCACGAGCGTGCTATGAGTGCAGCAGGTAGTCATGTTTTACATGACACGCATGTCATGATATCACGTTTGGACGTGTCCTATACCTGCACCGTTTAGTCACGTCACGTTATACCAAATTTGGTATATGTGGAGCTAGCGAAACGGCCACGAGCTCATCGTGAGCGTAACATGTAGTCATATTGTTACATGACATGCATGACATTATTTTCATGTTACGGTCTGTTGCTTGCGTTCGCCAAGCAGTCATGTCATACCATACCAGCTTTGCAACACGTCATGTGAACAAAACCACCTCAAGAGCAGCAAGACCATGAAATGTATCATGACATACATGTCACGATTTTCATGTTATGACTAGTCAGTTATGCTCGTCATAGAGTCATGTTATGCCATACAAATTTTGGTTTTGATACCATTATCGAATCAGCCAGGAAAGCTAAAAAAGGAATACTAGTTGGTCACAAGCTATATATCATACACTAGCTTCATTCCTAATGCAACTCAGAAATGTTCCACAGCTATTGGAAAGATCTTTGAGCTCACTAGCT